AGCAGTCTGGGGTTTCTTGTAAGATTGCCGACCGCATGTGTCACAACAGAATTGCTTTGGTTTAACAGAAAACTGTCAGGACTGCTGATTTTCTTTTGCCTGCCTCCATCACAAGCGTGCTACTCCGGGATCTGATTCACTTCTCTTAGATCTGAGCAGTTTTCAGCTCTGGAAGGATTTGTGGTATTGGTGTAATGGTAACTTCACTGCAATCTGATCAGGCACTTCTTTAGGTAAGGACTTTTATAACTCTAAGAAAGCGTTTATTTCTGTGCCCCTTCTTCCCTCCCAGCCCTCTTCCATTTAGCTTTCTGGTAACTTTTCTGGTTGGTGGGTGATGTTTATTTGGGTGATCCATGTACACTGCCATAAAATGAAGATCAAATGCTGGAGTGCCTCACGCCTGCCTCTCATTTCAAATTGTAGGTATCTACTCCACTGTGTGGCCCTTCTCTGAAATGTAGTGAGAGGTTTAACTGATGTGCCATGGAATGTGGTATCTTGCTTGTGCTGTAGTTAGGAGGTGTATAAACAGTGCTGTGCGAAAATAGCACTGCTCAAATTTCTCCTATTTAAAAGGATTTAATAATAAAAGAAGAAGGGACAAGATGAGTTTCCTGAATGTCTCAATTTGGGAGCAATTCGGATTTCTAAATTTTGCTTTCATGAAATAGTCCTCAAGGTTTAATCAAAATCTTACCGGTATTCACTCCTCTCCCTTTGTGAGGGACAAACTGACCAAATGGATTTTAGCAGAATATACCACAAAATCGGCTTTGTGTGAGCAAAGTTGCTTTTGCTTTTTCTGTCTGAGTCCATGTGTAAAAATACAAGACTTGCATGGGTTTTCTTGGATTTGGCTGTAGATGACTCAGCCACAATCGAGTCTGCAAAACTGCCCTGCTTCTGTATGTTCAGAAATAGTCAGCCGTGCGGTTGTGAAGGGAGTGAAAACACAATCAAGGGGCTGACAGAGGCCTTGGCATGGGTTGACTGAATTTCAGCCTGGCGATGAGAAGGCTCTGGAATACAGCTGCTCTGTCTCGAGGGAAACCATCGGTCCTCGGGCAACTTCGTGCATTACTTTGTGGTAATGCTGCCTTTTTTTTTTTAATTGCTTGGACAAGAGTAAAAGGTGTTCCTGCACTATAAATGATGGCAATGTAGACATTGTTTGTTTTTTTTTTCAGTTTGTTTTGTTTTTCAATGCTGCACTGGATTGTGAAAGGGAAAATGCTTTACTACGTGTTGCTGCCACCAAAACACGCTTTGTCAGTGCCCCCGAAGAAAACAGCTTTTACAGCTCGTGAGGTAAAGGCGGCAGTGACTTCTGAGAAATCACAGTTGCAGAACAGACTGACAGATAAGAATGTTATAAAAGAACACGTAGCAAAAGCAGTATTAGAAAAGGTGCGTCCTTGAAACCTTGAAAGCAGAGAACCACAAAAAAGCATTTAGTAACGGAACGGTACAAGCTGGAAAGAGCAACTTGCAATCCTCATGCTGATCTCCAGGTGTCGTGCATGTGGAGAACCATGGCCTTGTGAGCAGGGTGAGAATATTCCCTCCCTATTTTCTGTTTTCTTTTTTCAGAGAAACCTTTTTCATCCAAAGTTGAACCTTGGCAGGGGTAAAAATAAGGGAAACGCTTTATCCGACAGTGTTTTTAAACTGAAAAAACACCTCTTAGTACCCAACATGTAACCCCCACTTTTTCAGAAAACAAACAAAAAGTCCTCACACAACCTTTAGTTACAGCCAGGAAATCCAAATTTATATTGCAATTTTCTTCTCTGTTTCTCCCAAACTTCTGCTGGGTGCCTGTAGAAAGAATTGAAATATCCTGGAATTGGAACGGACTTGAAGGGAGCTTACTTCCAGAGCTGAGCTGAGGCCTGTATTTTTTTTGGCAGGAGGGGATGGAGAGGAGCAAAGAGGGGAGGGTTTAACATGTGCTTTTTTTTTTTTCCTTGCACTTCTTGTGGCATCTAAATCAAGCTCCTCGTTTGTTACCGTAATCACACTACACATAATTGCCGTGAATTGCCGTTTGTACCAGACTGTTACTAAATCATTAGCACTGATAATTCCTTGTATAAATGAAACTGTCTTTTAGTCTTTGTGATGAGAGATAGGTGGGTGGGGTTTGGGTTTTTTTCTGAATGAAGTAGTTATTGCAGTAGTGCTATGGACACTAAGGATATTTTTTGAGAAAGGAAAAAACAAAACAAAACACATGGGTCAGTTACTGCATGTGTTTGAAGACTTCTATTTATTCTATGAACTTAAAATGTTTTAGTAAAATGTCATCAGCTCTCTTTGCTGTTGTATGTGTGCACTTATTGCAAGTAAATTTAAGTATCTTTTTATTTGAATGTATCTTAAAACAGTAGATAGAATAACAGTCGATTCTGAAAAAAAAAAATCATGGACTTAATGGACCATTTTATATACCCAGAGGAAGAAAGCAATACCATATGAGAACTTTAAAGTGTAGAAGTGAATCATGCAATCAGGAATTATTATTTAGCCTTTAAATAAGCAGTAGGAACTGTCCACCCACCAGAGAAAGCAATTGTAACACACAAAAAAAGAAATTTAAATTTTTCTTCACTAATATAAATAAAATAACAGAAAAGTTGCATTGTTGTGTATTATTAAACTCTTTTCTTGTTCTTTTAAGGTGATAGATATTGCACCTTGATCCCTTGCTTTCATCTCTCTCAAAGCAAAATAATAGGCCATCACCAGGTTTGGTTTTCAAATTCTTGGACACAGAAGTGGCTAAAGGGTTTTGAGATTTTAAGATTGCTGGAGCTGGTGAAATTTGGGTCAAAACAAAAAAATATAGAAGCAAATGCAGTTTATTTGAATTCCAAAAAAGAAGAATTGGATGTTGTGTGGGGTTTTATGTATTTTGAGCAGGAGGGGGGTGTGAACTCTCCTGTCTAATATTGATGCAAAAACTGTAGTGACAAAACATGAAAGTGCAGAATAAGGAGTAAACACCCTGTGTTTTCCAACAGAGACAGAAGTGAGGTCTGCTGCGAGCTAGTGTCTTCGTTACTGAGGGAGGAAACAGCCCACTAATTAAATGCCAGGTAATAAGAAACTCAAAAAATCCTGCACGCCTGGGGAGAGCTAAGTAGTGACAAAAGAGCTTCCCCAGGCAGTAAATCATACAAAGATGAGGCAGCCTCATACTTTCATTGAGGAGAGGGATGTGTGTGAGGTTGGGAGGGAAATAACACTTTCTGTAGCAAGTATGTGATATAAAGAGAAAACTGGAGAGCAGTAATGCCAAAATAAACCTTTGGAGGGTTTGCATTGGTGTGGTGCAGAGCCGTGCGACAGCTGTGAGAGAGGCTGATGCTGCTGCACGGGGCACATCCAGGTACCACTCATCCTTCCTGTCTGCCCAGTGCCCAGCCTGGGGGAGGCTCCTGATCAAACAGTTGCGGGTTAACGGGAGGGATCCAGGGAGGATGAGCAGAGAGCATCCAGCCCTCCATGCCTGAGGACAGGCGGAGTAAAACAAGTGCCACTCTAGGGAAGAAGAGGAGTGAGGCTGGTCCACAGGGTGCCTATGGCTTAAGGATGAATAGAATTTGGGATTCAGTTAACTCATGGGAGGTTGTGGGCATGTGAAAGGGGAAGGAAATCTGGAAGCCATCACAGATGTGTGGAGAAGGAGAGCAAGGAGGGAAGCCTTGATGCAGACTTGCAGTGGGACCTAGTAATGAAAGTTGACGCTTAAGGTTTAAAAAGAGAAAAGATCTGCTTGGAGAAACCGTCATTCTGTTAGTGATAAATACCATATTGGGATATTGTTTGGTCCATCTGGACCTGATTTGTCCTGCCCTGCTTTAAAAAGCAAATATTCACAGAGACATGAGGCTAGAAGGACTCCCACTGAAAATTGGAGAGTTTTGACATCATAGGCTCTACCTGCATGTATCTCATTGCAAGACCAGTATTAAGATGTGAGGATTTTGAGGAAGATATTTTCTGTTATAGCTAACAAATAAGACTTTAAATAGCAATTCATAGTAGATAAGTCCTTTTTTTACAGGCTTGTGTGTTTTATCTAGATATCACAATGGGCGCAGTCAGGTGGCTTTGGGAGTGAGGACCCAGCCCTGCAAATCCAGTTCCTGAATCCCTTTGGCTATCACCTTGGTCAGAAGCTTCAGCCCCTGAGCTCATTGACAGTGCCATCAGGGGACAGTGACATAAGAGCCAGGGAAGGCCAGAGAAACGAACGTGAGGCAGAAAATGGGAAGGTAACATTTGATTGCACCCTAGAAGATATCATAGAATGGTTAGAGTTGGAAGGGACCTGAAAGATCATTGAGTTCCAACCCCCCTGCCCTGGGCAGGGACACCTCCCACTGGAGCAGGATGCTCTACTGTAAGGTAGTTGTACAAGGGATGAAAGTTGAGTGTAATGCAGTTCCCTGCCCAGTCCTGCACCAGCCCAGCTGCTGGGTAGCCCTTTGGAAACCTGCCTCCTGGGGTCCCGTCTGCTTCTAGTGGGAGCTGTTGGTTGTGTAGATGCTTTCAAATGGTTTTTTTCACAGCTCACATAAACTAATTGTGAGCCCTCACAAACTGCAAAACAAATGTTTGCTGGTTCTGTGTGGCGTTACGCCGGGTAGCCTGCTGGCCTCCAGTTTATAAGCTCTGCGTGTGGTGGGATTTCTCCTGCCCTGGCAGTTCTTGCTGTACCTGCAGTAGCCACTGGCTTCTTTTGGCTTCTTAGAGCAGGGCACCCCAGTGCTCCCTAGCGCTTTCCACAGCCCGCAGAGAGCTCTTGGAGACCGCTTACCCATGTGGGGTAGGAGCTGCTGCAGCGGGGGGCTGTGGTCTTCGCTGAGAAGGGAAGGTACGTGCTCAAGTGCAATACACCATCCTCCCTGAGCCTGGGTAGCCAAGGATCAGCCCTAATCTTTGACACCATGAGAGCTTCTACCTGTGTTTCGGGCTGTTACGTGGCTGCACCCAAGGGGGGTGAAAAATCCCCCCTTGGCACTGCTGGTGTCACGGCAGCGGCAGCAGCCCTCTCTGCTTGCAACCCAGGCTTGGGTTTGCCTCCCTCCTCTTGTTCCTCATCACTCAGGAGCACTGGCTCTCGTTTGCGCAGCCCCCTCAGCTGCTGTCACGTCTGGCTGAGCTGCACTGGGTGCTGCAGCACTGTGGTGGCCCTCAGAGTCACTGAATCATGGAATTGATGGAGTCGGAAGGGACCTTCTAGAGATCATCCAGTCCAACTCCCCTGCCAAAGCAGGGTTGACCAGAGCACATCACTCAGGAGCATCCAGGCAGGGCTTGAAGATCTCCAGAGAAGGGGACTCCACACCCTCCCTGGGCAGCCTCTTCCAGGGCTCTGCCACCCTCACCCCAAAGAAGTTCTTCCTCAGATTTGAGTGGAACTGCCCATGTTCCAGCTTGTGCCTGTTGCCCCTTGTCCTGTCACTGGGAACCACTGAAAACAAGTCCAGCTCCATCCTCATTCAAACTGCCTTTTAGACACTTGTAAGTCCTGGGTGAGTTTTGTATAACACAGGAAATATCTTTCCTGGCTATCTCCTCTTTACACCTTTCTCCCTTTAGATACTTGTAAGTCCTGGGTGAATTTGGTGTAACGCAGGAAACGCCTTTCCTGGCTATCTCCTCTTTACACCTTTTCTCCTTCCCAAATTAATAGCTTTTTTTTCTTTTTTTTTTTCACCCGTAACTCGTCCTTGGTGGTGTGCATGAACGCTCCTGCAGTCATCTGAATCTTTGGCTTGGAAAGAATGGGGGGTGGTTGTTCATATTGTATTGCTATTTTCCGACTTTTTAAAAAAGTATCCAGAAGGATGCATGTGATGCTGAGTTTGCTCGCTGCTTTGTTCAGAGATAAGCATCTTCTGCTCCAGCCAAGTGAAGAGCGATGGTGTTTAATGATCAAGTACGTGTGGATGTACTGACTTCTAGACTATCGTGCATCTGAAGATTAATTATAAGTGCAGCTTTCTCAAAGGGCTGGAACTCTAGGGGAAACTTGGGGCTTTTACAGCCATGAAAAATCCAGAAGTTTACTATTCACTGAAGGCCCTACAGGAGAACTGGGCTTCAGTGTTGTGTTCCTTGGGAAGGAAAACTGATTCAAATACCCACGTTGACAAAATAGGCCACAGGGAAACCAAAAAGGGGAGTAAGTGCAGCCCACTGAGGTCAGGAGAAATCAAAGCTGAGTCCGGCAAAATGGCTCAAGGTACAAAAGGAGCAGCTGGACATTGTGCAAGGATAGGAGGTTCACGATGTGCAGGACTGTTCTTCTCTTTGAGACGCTTCACCCTTGTGATTTCAGTGGATTTTGGAGGAAACACCCTGTTTCTGCTTCTGGAAACAATGCTTGAGAGTGTCTTGGTTTCTCCTTCAGGACAGTAAATTATGCCACAGGGTAACAGACTGCATGAGCCACCTGGAAACTCAGCCCACCCAACGTATTTAATGCAGTCGGATGATTCCAAAGCAGAACAGAACTGCTGTATGAACTAAACCTCAGAAGGCCAACTGGCTGATGAATTGGTGGCTCTGCTCTGAAATGGTCCTTTATCCTTGCAATATCCAAGTATCTCAGAAACTTTACTGGATGCATCTTCGCGATAGCACAGCAAGGAACATCCATCTCTGAAAGCTGGGTTGCAGGTGAGAGGAGTGTGGGGTGAGAACTGTGTGTCTGAGACTGGGCTGTGGACACACAGGATGTTCTTTGGAGAGCCAAGACTGGTATTTCAGCCTTTTGAGATTCTTCCACCCTTCCTTTTGCAATGTCTCCAAAGCTCTGAGTTAATTCTGTAGGTGCACAGAAGTTTAAGAGTTGCTCCCAACTTCCTGAAGGCCTCTGTTGGCAGCTCCCCACGTCGAACTGGGAAGTCCAGCAGTGTCGGTGAGACGCGTCCTGCCTTCCTCTGGTACAGACAGGATCTGCAGCCTGCTGCTTGTATTCCCGTGGAAGAATTAGAGAATCGTTCAGCTGTGCTACGCCATCTCGCTGGGTGCCATTCACACCTGCTTTAAGCCAGTTAACAAGCCAATGGAGACCACGGAATGGCAAGAAAGATAATAAAAGGCCCACAGTCACTGGTGCTTAGCGATGTCCTTAGCTGTAACGCCGGCAGCGGGCTTTCATGTCAGAATGGCATATACTCAATAGGTTGATAATGTTTGTATTTAAAAGATTATAGAGATTTTTGTCCTGCTGAAATAGGCTTCAAGCTGGGCTGAATCCAATCTCTGTTCAATTGACACAGGCACTTAGGAATGATTAAAGCTTTAACAAGCCCACAGCCAGATTTTTTTCTTTCTTTGAGAGGATTTTAATGAACTCAGGGGATAGAAAGATTGAACATACAGAAAAACCTTTCACTGCTCTGCTAGGACACTTATAACATTCACATTTTGTCTGACCTGTGGATTCCTCTGCTTGGGCTGTGGAGAGGGAGCGCCTGGCTTGGGACATTGGAGCTCACTGAAACGCAGAGAAATGGACTGCAGCTGGGAACATCTGGCTGCTGTGTGTCCCAAGCTCATCCCAGCTGCTGCCCCACGTGCAGTGAGGATGGAGGGGCCAGCGATGCAGCAAAGGAGGGGCCAGCGATGCAGCAAAGGCTGGGAGAGCAGAGCAGGATCCACACGCGTTCCTGTATGAAATCCCAGGGCAGGTGCCGCTTCAGGACCCACACGCTGCCCCAGCTCCTGGGGAGAGCTGCCCCTTCTCGCCCTCGGGGGGCTGCCTGGGTTTCCCCCCACTCTCAGGAGAAGTATTTGGTGCTTCCACCCTCTTCTCGCAGCTGCCACCGACTCTTCCCTGCTCGTTTACCTGGAGTTTGCAGCGAGCTGCTCTGTTCCTGGAGATTCGCCCAGCACCTGTTTTGAAATTAAGTTAATAAAGCGGGAACAGAGCTAATTGAATCAGGCACATGGAGAAAACAAACTGTCTTTAAGTGCAGAAAGCTATTGATTTGCTATTTTGTCGGTGTTAATTTAACCCCTGCACATGCACTTCAATAAAGACACGTTCAAGTGCAGCTAAATGAAATGTCAGAGAGTTGGCAGTGCCAGGAAATGCACCTCCTAGAGAAGCACCAGGGGGCTGTGCCAACGTGCTGCCGTGTGTGCTGAAACCTGCAGGGCACTTCCCAGCCCAAAGCCTTTCCTGGACCCGAGGGGCTCACACCCAGCTGCAAGGGCTCCATCCCCAAGGCTGCTGTCTCCCCTGGGCTAAAGCTGAGCAGCCTGCAGGGTCACTCATGCCCTGGGATGAGCATTGCAGCTACCAGGCTTGCTTGACTTCCCCGAATTCACCTCCCTCCCTCCTGAACCCCCCTGTTCACCTCCACTTAGCACCTCCAGGTCAGCCAGGAGCTGAAGGGTGTCTCAGCAGCCTTTGCAACCTTTTCCCATCTTGGGAATTTCTTTTGAGAAGAAGAGGAGCAGGTGACTGATGTTTTCAGGAGGAGGAGGACATTGCTGAGATGCTTACAGCCAGTTCCCCCTCACCTCCAGGAGCATCCTAGAGCAACAGTTCGTCCTACCATGATGATTACTGCAGTTGTCCCAAGTGTCGAGAATGAAGAAGAGATGTCCCCTGCAACTCCAAGGTTGTATCTCAGCAGCACCCAAAACCACCATGTCAGCCTTGTGCTGGGTTTTAGGTGGTAAAGAAGGGTTCTTTAGGCAGAATTGAAGCCTGTATGACCTGACATGCAACCCTGAACAGTTCCCTGCCCCTGTGCTTGGGCTCAGAGGTCCCTCACCAGAGCAGGGCTGTGGGTGTGCGGCGTTGCCTTGCCTCGGGCTGCATCTCCATCCAGATCTGTCAGGGCTGGGCAGCTCAACACCTGCCTGAAATCCAGGTGAGGTTCAGTAAGAAGCTCTTTTCTGTTAAAAGACCGAGGGAGGGGTGGCCCCCAAAACCATCTGCAAACACAGCAAACGTACCACCACAGGATCAGGACAACTGCAAAGGACACATTCATTTGATAGTTCTTCCAACGCCTGCTCAGGAGGCAGCCCTCATTTACCTGGAGATAGGGGGAAAAAAAAACCTAAAGATGAAATCAGGTACGTTTTAAATCCTCATTTGGATGCCAGGCGCATCACTACACGTCTGTTTATTCCCTGGTCTATTTTACAGCTCTGTTACAGCTTATATAT